TGCCCTGCCATGGGCAGGGACCCCTTCCACTGGAGCAGCTTGCTCCAAGCCCCTGTGTCCAACCTGGCCTTGAGCACTGCCAGGGATGGGGCAGCCACAGCTTCTCTGGGCACCCTGTGCCAGCGCCTCAGCACCCTCACAGGGAAGAGCTTCTGCCTAAGAGCTCAGCTCAGTCTCCCCTCGGGCAGGTTCAAGCCATTCCCCTTGGCCTGTCCCTACAGGCCCTCGTCCCAAGCCCCTCTCCAGGTTTCTAGCACATTTCTTGTATTACTTATGACTCTTCAAAAGACTCAACCCTAAACCAGGAAAACCACTGGACTCTGTATGAAGCCGTAACAAACTCCATGTGCAGCAAGAGCCTTGCTCTCCAGCTGCACTCTTCACCCACTCCCTGCCTCTGCTCCATCACCATTTCATATATGATTTTCAGAAGCATATCAACTACAGACCTCGTTTAAAGCTCCAGCACTCAAGACAGCCAGAAACTGTGCTTCAAAGTAGACAAAAACACCACTTTAATCAGGAGACGGAAATAGGTGCATGAATCACCAGTGCAGAGAGAGTTAGTCATCACACACGAGGAAAAAGGAAGAGGAAAAGTCCCTTTCAGCTGCAGGGGCAACGGCATTCCCCTTTGCATCTCACAGCTCGTTGCTTTACCAACCCAAATGCCACCGAGCACCACATCATGGATCTCCACTGGACAAGGGCTCACACCCAGTAGCTGACAATGCTCAGACCACAGCTGCCACCACTCACATCAACTCCACTCAATATTAAGCTGCTCAGAGAGGACACCAGGCTATAAACCACCATGGTTGCATCAGGGAGTACCTGGCCTCACTGCTGAGGTCCTGCTGAAAGCATCCAGCGAGACGGTGGTGGCCACGCTCCGAGCCCAGGCGCTCCTGGGTCGCTTCCACAGCAGTGGATGGGACACAGGGCTGGTAGCTCCGGGAGCCCATCTGCCTGGAGAGCCAGGGGGATGCTGCCACTGCAGCAAGGGGAGCTGGGCAGGAGATGCAGGAGTCGAGGCTCTGGGCTCTGCAACTGCCTGGACCTGCCCAGTCCACCCTGTGCGATGCTTCTTGGGGAGATCAGACACCTACGGTGGAAAAGACAGCGTTATCAGCAAGGCTCTGTGAACGTTATTAGCCCTAAACCCTGGCACTGAGCTGAGGTGAAGCACAATTTTAGTCCTTTCCCATTTCCATTCCCCAAGGGTCAGATTTAGCTCAGGAAGCCCAAGTGCTTTGCTGGAATGCAACTGAAATACTGGGTTTTGCTGCTTTTGGAGCTCTTCCCTTCCTCTCTTGATCTGACAACCATAACCGTCCACATCATTTGCAGAACCTGGAAGCCCTCGTTCCGTACCTCTCCTGGTTCACAGCTCCTACCCTGCCAGTTCTCCAATTTTCTGTGCTGATCTAAAGCTTCTCATGGCACTCCTACCTTGCCATTGCATTTATCAGCCCTTACACAGGGCCTTGCATGCTGCTATTTGCTGTCCTCCTTACGAGCAGAGCTTCCACCACCAAGGACTCCTACATTGCTTACATGTAGCCTTCAATTACAAAGGCTGAACATGGCCTTAGACCTGGCCTGGAGGCAGAATTCCATCACCCAGCTCTTCTCCCACTACTCCAGCACCTGCAATGCCCCTGTGGGCACTCGTTCTGCGCTCCAGGGTACCGCAGGGATGGGACTCCTCTCTGGGTGCTGCTCATCTTCACAACATCGTGAGTTCCTCTCACACTGCTGGAAATGAGAGAGGCCTCCCTGTGTCAGAACCACAAACACTTCACAGGCTGCAGTGCTGAGGTGATGCACTCTGCAGTCAGCAGGCTCAGGCTTCAAAGCTGTTCCACCAGAAGAAGATCACAAAGCCCAGAGCAATGCACAAGTACCCCCAGGGCTTCCTCTGTGTCACTCTTCAAACCTACTGCTCTGTGTGCATCCTACACACACGCTCTCAAGAGATTACAGTGCTCCCTCCTCCAGCACTGACCAGTTTCACCCAACCAGGGCTGGCACTCCACTGCCATGGCTTCATCCTGCACCTGAGCATCTTCTATAGTTCTCTTGGCCAACTTTGGAGGCAGGAGGTCTGTTTGCTGTGCTGGAGTTCTCGCTGGGACCTCCAAAACTGCGTATCTGGATGTACAGGCTCCAAGTGAGTTTTCTTTGCTGGGAGACCAGGCTCCATGACTCCTCACTACCAGGCACATCACACACACATATTCTTGGGCTCTTATTATCTATTTCCTTGGCTTCCTCAAGAGCCCAGATAATAAAACCAACACCAGAACTCACCAACCCTTAACTGTTTGATAACCCAAAGGCTCAACAACCTCCACAGACAGTTATTGTCCTGGAGACCGCAAACTGCCACTGTGTTCGACCACGTTCCTTCCCAGCTGACAGCTGCTTTGCAATCCCTTGCATGCCCAAGCCGCTGTGATGCCTTGGCCCTGCTGCACAGACCATGATAGCTCCAGTTACACACGCTGCTGCCAAGCAAAGCATCCCTCAGGGCTGGACCTTTTCTCTTGCTCTAAAGGTTTGATCTGAAGCTCATCTCCTCTGTCAGGAAGCAGCTTTTGAGGAGACATAAAATGCAAATAGAGGGAAAAAAAAAAAAAAAAGGAAAAAAAAAATTTTCCACACCTCCGCTTGCTCATGTCCAGCTTTCAGCCTGGGAATCCTCTCCCTTTTCCTTTTCCCTAATAAACTGCCTGAGTTTCTTCAGCAGAGGGAGCTCAAGCTTTTTATTCCTCCCCTTCCATCTTTGCCAAGGATCATGGAATCCCAGCCTGGTTTGGGTTGGAAGGGACCTCACAGCTCCTCCAGCTCCAACCCCTGCCACCGGCATTGACCCCTTCCACTGGAGCAGCTTGCTCCAAGCCCCTGTGTCCAACCTGGCCTTGAGCACTGCCAGGGATGGGGCAGCCACAGCTTCTCTGGGCACCCTGTGCCAGCGCCTCAGCACCCTCACAGGGAAGAGCTTCTGCCTTATCTCCAACCTGAACTTCCCCTGTTTCAGTCTGAACCCGTCACCCCTTGTCCTGTCACTGCAGTCCCTGATAAACCAGACGAGCCTGGGAGCCTGTTCCTGCTCTCTGGGCAGCAGCTCCCATCCTTACCTGGGCAGCCCCATCCACCACCAGCTCAAAGGCTGCTCCCCCCTTGCCGAAGCACAGGACATCGCCCGGGCTCACTCTCACTGCTGCATTTTGGACCTGGCAGCCGTTGATGAAGGTGCCATGGGGGGAGTTGAGGTCCTGAAGGCAGAAACTGTTGTCCGAGGCAGTGAATTCCAGGGCTGCGTGATGCTGGGCTACACCTGCAGACTGGCAACCAAGAGGCAAGCAAGAGAAACCTGATGGAATGCAGCTCTGCTCTGGCTACTCATTTGCAATGTCCCCTCTTCTTGCTGGATACCCAGCACAGACAGGCTGGAAGCCCTTATGCTTTGCACTGGTGACCACAGTGCAGAGAATCATAGAATGGTTTGGGTTGGAAAGGACTTTAAATCACCCAGTTCCAACCCCTGCCATGGGCATCCTGCTCCCCGCTTCCAAATCCCCGCTTCCAAATCCCCACTCATTTACACCACTCGGCTTCCTTGCCCCTACCTGCAGGACGATGTCGGACCCTTCGTGCCGGCCGATGGTTGTGGTGTGTGCTTTCAGCTGAAAACAGCCCTCTGAGCTCCTTAGGAAGGCTCTCATCATCCAGCCCCTTCACCTTGCACTCAAAACAACTCCTCCTTCAGCAATCCCCATCCAACACACGCAGCTGAGCACAGAACCCCTTCCCCAAGTTACACACTAGAAATCACACAAAATCAACCCAAAGGCAGCCCTGCTCCAAGCTGCCCAGAGCCTCGCAGTAGCCTTGGAAACCTCGGCCCCGCGGAGCTGCTGCTTCCTGCCTGTGTTTGCTCTTTGTTTTGCTTGGGCTGGTTTTTTCCTCCTCCTTTGCCCAAGCAACTGACCCAGCAGCACAACACAGCCCTGCGCCGGCGTTCCCTGCCGGCCTGTGACACACATGGGAATGGATGTTCCCATGCATCACACAGCTCCCAGGGCTGCACAGCCTGACAGGACATTGCTGTTCCTCCTCCCCGCTTTTATTTAGGAGTTATTAATTGCCAGGGTGGACACAGGGGCTTGGAGCACCCTGCTCTAGTGAGAGGGGTCCCTGCCCGTGGTACGGGGCTGCAACTGGGTGAGCTTTCAGGTCCCTTCCAACACAAACCGGTCTATGGTTCTTGTGCATGCATACACAAGCAGGGCTTGGAATAAAGGAGAGCTGCACACAGAACACATGCAGGAGAACAGGTAGTGAGTCCTGTCAGATTTTACCATGCTTCATTTTGAGGCAGAAGCAGCAGGTTTCACACAGAACTCTGCAAACTGTACTTGAGCACATGCCTCAATGTTGGCTTCCACTACCAGCATTTCCATCCCTTAATCTCCTTCCAAGTGCTTTGCCTTCAATAGAGCAGCTGAGGTTTTCTAGCCCCAGTCCACCTGCAGCATAACACTATGTGTTTCCTCAGTTGCATTAATACCAGGTCCTGTGGGTTGACATGGAAAACAAGTTACCCTCCAGAGATACTGCTCCAAGATCTACGGGCAACCTTACACACCACACGGGGAAGCACCGACCATACCAGCATGGGTCGTTGAGAGCACTCGCACTTCCCAGCATCCCACATCTCCCTCTGCTTTCCAAATCCCATTGAAGGACGAGGATGCAAGAGGCAGGAGATGCTCATTAGCTATTTGGGCAGTTTTGGCATAATGACTGCATTAGTCACAGCCTGTTTCACTGCAGTCACTGTACTTGACACCAGTTTTCCAGCTCTTTTCCTACACGAGACGTTGGGAAAGATGCTGCTTGTGCCACTCAGTTTCATTCAACAGGACTTTCTGGAAAAGAAGCTCGACGAAACCAATGACTCAGACAAGAAGCTTCATTTTATGAACCCAGATTTCCCAAGAGAACTCTTAGGGTTGCATTTCTTCACCAGGGAAAGAGGACCTCGTGCCTTGCCTCCCACCAGAGACAGGATCTTAGGGGCACATGTGCCTGGGAGACAGCTTCCAAGGACCTGCACCACCTCTGCAACCTTTCAACAAGAACAACATGGGAATCCCCCAGATCTCAAATCCCAGACTGCTTTGAGTTGGAAGGGACCTTAAAGCTCACCCAGCTCCAACCCCCTGACATGGGCAGGGACATTCTTCCACTCCCCGAAGCCAGGTTACATTCTGCTACTGGTTTCCTTCCCTTTAGTACAGAAGCCCCTTGGTCAACGATGTTATTGTGCCCACCTGAGATCATGCCTTGGGGCACAGGAAAGTGAAAATCCTGCTACATGACAACACAAATGAAGAGATGCAACGTGAAAGAACAGCTCATGAGAGAAACGGCCAGATGGGTTTGGGCCAGCATTTCCCCTTTATCTTCGTTCTGGTCAACCACACTGCCAAGTCAAGCTCTGCTCTACAATCTAACTACATCAACATCAGCATCACCCCAGCAAAGCCACATGGTACCAGCAGCAAGAGGCAGAGGGCAGACTGGCTACACCAACACCAGCTAAACATCCCTGGGAGATCCTGCTTTCCACCCACACCATCAACATTCAGACCATATGAGGGAACCCTTGGCTGAACACGATGACTTTGTCAGGGATCGCTTTGCTGGAAGCCTGGGATGCAGCACATGGCCGGGATACCCATGGAGCAGGATCCACTCTGAAACGCTGTGCACCACTTGCAAAGCCTGGAGAGGGCCACAGCCACGCATGAGAGTGTAACACACACAGACACAAGGTACAAAGTGTTTATTTAGAGCAGGTCTGCTCAGGATGCTCAGCAGTCACTGCACCCTGCAATGCACCTCCTGGCAGCCGCGCACCAGCTCCCAACCCCCTGGGTCCATCCTCCAAACACCCCTTTGCATCAGAACACAAAACACAACAGAGAAAACAAGCAAGGCAAGAAATCCACCCCTTCCCGAGGAGCACAGGGCCTGTTTCTGAGCTCCCACCAACAATCCCAGACCTTGGCAGGAGTTTGGGCTGGCTCCGGGCCACCATCCCAGCCCCAGCCTGGAGGAAGCTGCAGCAACTCTGGCAACGCGGGTACCCTCACTCAGACAGAAAAGACGCCAAAAAAGAAGAAAAACAAAAAGAACATTTTCCTTTTCCACTTGGAAAATCCTTGTTCAATATCAGTTTGGTGACTTGGAAACGTCTTGGTGGGTGTAAGGAGAAAAGGAGGTGAAAAGGTACATCATAGAACGGTTTGGGTTGAAGGGACCTTCAAAGCACATCCAGTCCAACCCCCTGCAATGAGCAGGGGCATCTTCATCTAGATCAGATTGCCCAGAACCACATCCAGCCTGGCCTGGAATGTCTCCAGGGATGGGGCATCCAGCACCTCTCTGGGCAACCTGTGCCAGTGCTTCACCACCCTCAGTGTAAAGGGTTTCTTCCTCACATCCAGCCTCAATCTCCCTCTTGTAGTTTAAACCCATCACCCCTCATCCTATCACAACACACCCTGCTAAAAAGTCTCTTCTCATGTTTCTTACAGGCCCCTTTTAAGAAGTGAAAAGCTGCAATAAAGTCTCCTCGAGTCTTCTCCAGCTGAACAATCCCAACTCTCTCAGCCACTCCTCACAGCAGAGGTGCTCCAGCCCTCAGATCATTTCTGTGCTCTCCTCTAGACCCTCTCCAACAGGTCCGTGTCTTCCGTGTACTGAGGAATCCAGAGTGGAACCACACTGGGTGCTCCTTACGTCAAAACACCACAAATGACACTTTTGGCACTTGCAGCAGACTCACTGGCATCCAGGTCTCTCTCCCCACAGTCTTCTGTAACGAGGGAAAACTCACCCTGCCCCTGTGCTGCAGCACCATGCACCTATTGCATTCTCCACACTGCAGGTTTCAGGAAGCCCTGACCCCTTCTGCACCCCCAGACCAGAGGATAAAACCCGGTACTCACTGTCGGAAGAGCCGCTCCATGGCGCGGAGCTGCCTCCGGGAGAACTCGCGGAACTCCGCGGCGGGGCTGAACACGCGGCGGCCGCCCCCGGGGGAACCCTCGAACGCCGCCCGCCCCAAGGGGCTGCCCGGCCCCGGCCCCGGCTCCGCTCCGCGGCCCCGCCGCCCCGACAGCTCCTCCGCCGCCGCCGCCATGGTGCCCGGATGGCCGCGCCTCCACGCCCCGCCCCGCCGCGGGGGGGTCCGGGCCCCTCCGCCGCTCCGCTGCCTCCGCAGCCCCCTTCGGGAGAGCCCGAGCGCGCAACAGCGGCGCTCAGCAGAGGGGAGGGGAGGGGGCTCCCCCGGGCTCCCTCCAGCTCCATCCATTATTGCCGGGGATTCGGCATCGGGAACCGTGGAGCAGCCCGACCCCAGCGGGGAAACCCGCGGGAGATGGCGCAGCACAGCCCGGCAGGGAACTGTCAACCCTGGCCGGTGCTGGGCTCCTCAGAACGAGACACGGAGATGCTGGAGAGGGTCCAGCCGAGGCCACAGGGATGCTCAGGGCTCTGGAGCACCTCTCTCATGAGGAGAGACTGCAGGAGCTGGGCCTGCTTAGTGCAGACAAGAGCAGCCTGAGAGGGGATCTCATCACTGCACATCAATAGCTCAAAGGTGGGTGCCAGCAGGATGCTGCCAGACTCTTTCCAGTGGTGCTCAGCAACAGGATGAGGAGCAATGGCCATAAACTAAACCACAGCAAGTTCCACCTCAACATGAGCAAGAACATCTTTCCATTGAGGGTGGCAGAGCCCTGGCACACGCTGCCCAGGGGGGCTGTGGAGTCTCCTTCTCTGGAACCATCCCAAACCCGCCTGGATATGTTCTTGTGTGCCCTGCTTTGGGTGGCCCTGTCTTGGCAGGGGACAGGACTGGATGCTCTCCAGAGGTCCCTTCAACCCTTATGATCCTGTGAACCTACACAAGGGAACCAGGTCATGCCTTGCCCCCAAATCAGCCCAGGGCAGCAGGCAGCTGGAAGCCCACAGCACATCAAGAGGGAAAACTGCCATGGCCAGAGCCCTGCCGCACAGCCACCGACCACATAATGCACCAGAAATGAGGCATCAGCCACGGTGTGCCCACAGGTGCCCAGCAGCACATTCACAGATGCTGATTCCTGCCTCAGCCCCTCTGTGCTGTTTCTCATCCTTTGACTTCTATTACAAATACCAACAAAACCCCAAAGGGGCTGTGCTCACATCCACGTTCTCTGCTGGAAAGCTCTGCAGAGAACTCTGCATAGGCTGCTCTGAGCAAAGTGGCTGCAGGGCAAATGGGCATTGGAGCTCCCCGTTTCCCTCAGAACACCACTGCTCCTCAGAAACCAGGGGCTGCTCCTCTTCTTCCCTTCCCACTGGTACAGGGACATTCACTGGGGCTCCAGGCAGTGATGCACTCCTCTGATTCCATTCTGCACCATGCCTTGTGCTCCAGCTCCCCAGGGCACCACAGGAGGTGGAAGTGCAAGGGATAATGTGGGCCGTGCAACAAGGCAGCTTCAGAGGCAACAGGACAGGACCCAGACGACTGATTTGACTCATATAGTCTGTACATTGGGCTCTATTCACACACCTATCTACACACACAATGTATACAATGGGCTATATCCACACCACCTTTTCTACTGCCATAGATCCCACCCCACACCATGGGACCCATACTGCAGGAAAATAAGGTCCTACACCAGCATGCCCTGGAGCTAACGGGATTCCAACAGGGGCTCCTCAAAATGCACCAAAGCCTTGTACTACATCTGACATTAGGAAGTCCACAGCACCATGACCCATTCCCACTGCAGACCTTGACCTACCAAAGGCCCACGTGGTGCCTCTCCTGTGCACTTCCCATCTTGACAGCTTCTGCTGTGCACTCTTTGGCCTTCAGCTTGCCCGAGCAGAAAGGCTTCTTGGCTCCAGGCTGCAGAACAGAGGGACATCAACACCATGTTCATGGCCCAGACCCCTCTATACAGCTGCCTACATTCATGGTGCACTCCATCTCCTGCAGTGGGAATGCTGCTGCCCCAGGATGCCCAACCTCTTGGGATGGTCAGATGGACCACAGAAT